CCCCACTCCTGTGCCCCCCCAGGTCCACAAGAGCCTGCAGCGGATCCGGGAACGGAAGCTGGCCAACTTCATCCCCTGGGGCCCGGCCAGCATTCAGGTGGCCCTGTCGAGGAAGTCTCCCTACCTGCCCTCTGCCCATCGGGTCAGTGGACTCATGATGGCCAACCACACCAGCATCTCCTCGGTGAGTGTCCCAGTGTGCACCTTGTTTCCACCAGTCAATTTCCTGAGGGTACATCCCTGTTGCCCTGCCTCTGGCTCTCTCGCTGTGAGGAGAGGATAGTCTCGTCCTAGCTCCCTGGCTCTCTGACCCATATCGTTCCTTTGTGATCCCTGCTTTCTGTATACCCCAAGCTCTTTGAGCGAACCTGTCGCCAGTATGACAAGCTGCGGAAGCGGGAGGCCTTCCTGGAGCAGTTCCGCAAGGAGGACATGTTCAAGGACAACTTTGACGAGATGGACACATCCAGGGAGATTGTGCAGCAACTTATCGATGAGTACCATGCGGCCACACGGCCAGACTACATCTCCTGGGGCACCCAGGAGCAGTGAGTCCCCCAGGACAGGGACCCTCATCTGCCTTACTGGTTGGCCCAGGCCCTGCCTGACTGACCGTCCCTCAGAGCACAGATCAGAGACCTCACAAGTCTCTTTCTCATACACACACATACACTCTGTTGCCTGGGACACACTTCTCTACTTATGAGACTATCTACCTTTAATAAAACACTGGATGTGAATCAAGTCATTGGTCTCTTTGAAGCCCTCAGGAACTGAGGAAGGGATATCTGTTCTTTCTCCATCTCACTGACTGGGTCCTTCCCTGTTTCCAGCATCTTCAGCTCTAAGTAAACAGCCTTTCCTAGCTTTTCCTTCTTCCTGGTTTTGAAGAACGTAAGTGGGGTTTAACCCACCTGAAATTCCTTTCCTGGGTTAAGTCCCATGGGTTTTACCTAATTCTCTGTCTGACCCTCTCTGGATCCCAGTTCACTCCTATTCCCAGCTGTTTCAGGTAGACATTCCACCAGTTTCAGGTTCCCACATCTGATTGTCCTGTTGATCAGCACAGCTACAGGCCTGAGGCCACCACTCCCACCACTAGACCCTGGGCAAGCAGTGGAGTCAGGTCAGTGTCTTAAGCTTGCAAGAGCCAGTCTAGGAAAGCCACTGGCTCAGGCAGCTGGAGTCGTAAGAACATTAAAAGATAAAACAAGAGATGGTTAAGGCACTGGACTCCCACATGGCTGACCGTGGTTCGAGTCCCAGACCTAGCGGCTTACTTTGTCATTTTCTGTCTCTCTGGTGAACATGTGTACTATGGCAAACTGAAAAATAACAATGTTAAATAATTCTTAAAAACAAACAAACCAAGAGCCGAATCCAAAGCCCAGGCTGTAAGCAGCACCTAAAGTAGTTCCATAGGTAAGTTCTAGTTCTATTCTCAGGTGGTCTCCAGTTATTTAAGGGCTAGTGCCTTCTACTTTTGGTGGAAGATTGCAGGGAAAGCAGTAAATTCATAGGAGCCTGAATCTTCAGGATTGTGATATAGCAAAATAAACACACTTGGGGCCTACCTGCAGCAGTTCAGCAGTGGCGCAGTGTTCCACAGGGCTGGAAGCCACAGGAAGAATGGGGTGCTGTTCCTGGGTTGATCTCTACAGTTGGAGGTATGAGCCTGTGCCCATGATACTAGCCGGATAGGAGTGCTGGGGGAGGATCAAGGCGTGAGACCCTCTATAGAGGGTGTTTGTCTTTCATCTGTCTCTCTCATGAAAGAAACTCTGTGTGTGTGTGTTAGCCTTTGTCTCCATTTCTTGGCACAAAATTCCTAAAATCCTTGACTCCTCAAAGGTAGAAGAGTCTTTTTTTTTTTTTTAATTTTTTAATTATTTATTTTATTTATTCATTCATTTATTTTTAATTTGACCAGAGAGAGCCAGAGAGAGAGAGAGAGTGAGAAAGCCAGCTGCCAGGTCCGCAACTTGAACTGTGGTCAGCCATATGGGAGTGTCCAGCACCTTAACCACCATGCCACCTGCTGGCCCCGGGAGAAGAGTCTTTTTGTGTGCTAATGAGTTGGCTGAGGGCTGGCAGCCCCTAGGTAGCTTAAGGAAGTGGGTTGATTACTAGAAAGACCAAGACAGGATTAGGGGGCTGTAGATAAATTGATCACCAATTGCCAATGAGTCAATTATGCCTATGTACTGAAGCCTCCGTAGAAACCAAAAAGGACAGGGTTCAGAGAGCTTCCAGATAGCAGAACACATGGGAGTTCCGGGAGGGGGGCGGTGGTGGCTGTATGGGAGCTCCATGTCCCTTCTCCCATACCACGCACCTTCTCCCGCACCACACCGTATGCACCTCATTCTCTGTATCCTTTGAAATAGTGTTTCTCATAAACCGGTGGAACGGCCAGCGAGCGGTGTGGTGAGCACCACATGGTCAACTGCGGTTTGAGTTTGGACCTGGCAGCTTGCTTTCTCACTTTCTCTTGTCTCTCTCTGGTCAATGTATGTGCCCTATAGCACATTTAAAAAATAATAGCTAAAATTTATAAGCTCACTTGGACACTGGGGCCAAAAGCTGATGATTTTCCTAAACTGGCAGTTGTCACCATCCAACCGTTCCCAGGGCAGTCAGTCAAGTATGTCTCAACACTAGCATGATATAAAAAGGGACACTGCAGCTGAAGGGAAAAGGCATCAAAACCCACTTTGTACACAGTTAAAGTCCTAACTGGGTTTGTACTGTCCTCCCATTTTGTTCTCGGAAGATTAAATGCTGCATGTGTAAGTCTACCTAAATAGGTAGCTTATGTCAAAATGTCTGCAGCAGTTTGTCAATAAAGTTTAGTCCTTTTTTAATCAAAGTAAAAAAAAAAAAACCAAAAACTAAAATTAAATAATTATTTTTTTAAATTGGGACCAGCAGATAGCATGATGACTACATCACTGAACTCCCATGTAGTCGACTGCAGTTCAAGTCCCAGACCCGGTGGCTTAAACTCATGCTGGGCGTGTGTGTTTGTGTGTCTAAGATCCTGAGAGGAGAAGGGATTGTGGCATGGCCATCCCCACTGGGGGGTGATTTCTCGCTTTCTGTCTCTGTCTATCTGGCGAGCGCACGTGCCCTATAGTGAAAAACCTCTCAAAAAAAAAAAAA